TCCTTCAAAATAAGTAGTTTTCTTACTTATTTTTTGTGTTTGGTTAGATAGCAGAAAATATTTTTTAAAAATATATAATTTAGACAAACACTGTATGAGACGAGATGGACAAGGTGGGAGGAATGGTAGGTCGAGATCTAAGGCTCGAAGTGGTGGCAACGATGTTGGGGGTGGCAACTCTGAACCAATATTTTCAATTAATTGAAAATTGTCATATTGTAAGGATTCATCACGGAAAGTTAAGTTCTACACTAGCTATCTACATATTACAATCTTTCTTTATTCGGGCTTGAGACCGACAATATATATATATATATATAAAAAAGTTTATCTAGACGAAATTAATTTAAAATTCCGTAGAAAGGCACCGACACCAAGCTACCAAAATGAGCCTTTCGCTTATGAAAAATTAACTAATAGTATATATTATATTGGTTGCTTTTTCATGTTTATCAGAACATATATTACACTTGATGAGTGTAAAACGTCTGAATTGATTTTAAAACATTTAATTTATAATCACTTAAGATTTCCAACCATTTTTGAGCACATGTTCCTTTTAAACATATTATTTTGACTTTTTAACCATATCAGTAAGAGCTAAACTATTATAAGCAACAATTTAAAATGTAAAAGTTGCAACCGAGCTTATGTTAAGTTGAAATTGTGTACGTCCAAAGAGCATTGGTATATTAATGGTACTATACACATAGAGTTCAAAGCATGTAATAATTAAAAGAATTATTTAAAATAGAAGCATTTGGTAGGTCCAAATTTGGTCAAACATTCATTGAAAGGCATTATTATATCAGGTGAATAATGCCTATGAATTCTCTCCACTGGTTCGCATTCTTACATAACCTCGAAACTTCTTTTTACTATATTTGGAGCTTTTACCCATTCTGTGGTTATAAATAGAATGTGTTGATTTTCAGTACAGGATTTAAGTTTTGTATATTGACAGTTTAAAAAACTGAAGCTTAAACAAATTTAAATATAACTTGTAAGTGAGGCTGCTAGCCCAATTGCACGTATTGGGATTTTTTCGTAAAAATAGCACGGTATAACCAGTTTTCGGATTGATCATTCAAAAATAGCCAGCGTTTACGAAGTTAATGAAAAATAGCCACTATTTTGCCGCAACAGAAACCGGTCTAGCATAATATACTGGAGTTCGGTGCACATGTATATGAACTCCAGCAAATTATGTTGGACCGGTATACTTTGCTGACTCCAGTATAATATACTGGAGACTGGAGCACCTGTGCTCCAAACTCCAGTATATTATACTGGCGTATTTTCCGGGTTTTGAACAGTGTTTTCGCTCAGATTTATCTTTACATGAAAAGTGGCTAAATTTCGATTACTTTTGAAACTGGACTATTTTTGAACGATCAGTTGTAAATCTGGCTATTTTTGAATTTCTCCCGATTTTTTCATTCCTATACAATAGTTAAAACTTATTTACCAAAATTATTATAATTTGTATATTACCCCCATAAATAAAGATTACTTACAAATTATATGCAATCCATTATTAGTGTCTTAAATTAGGGGATTTAATTACATCTTTTTCCTATTTTCTCTCCACTCCTTTTTCAATAAGACTCCTTCTAGTTGTATATTACCTATTTTAAGCCATAATTAGTGTTAAATCCTCTTTCTCTTTGAAGTGTAGAGGCTCAACTATTACACATTGCTTTCACCATCGACGCCAATAAATTATAGGCCGCAAAATCCAAATTACTGCTCTCACGCTCTGTGTGCACTTTGTCGTAAATATCACAAACTATATCTTCCCAAATATCTAATGAAGAGAAAACGAACTGCTAGTTTATAGGTTACAATGAATCTATAAAGAGCAGTTACGACTGTCCAAAAGGATTGTCTTTTTCTATTAATTTATTAATAAAAATAAAGCGTAGTTTCTATCCTAGTACACGTGTTTGCTAGAATGAATTTAATGTTATGCCGTGTTACTTGTTACACCATTTTTTTTTAATCCCTCTAAATTCTAACGTACTTCCTCTATCCACTTCACTTGGAGCATATACTATACAACTTATCTATAATTTTCATATATTATTTTTATTCATCTATATACAACTATAATATCATATCACGTAAATACAATTTTTATACAAATTTTATACAATACATCTTTTGTATATTTTGTATCTGATTTATACATAGTAAAAACAAATTTCATATAACAAATTATATATTATACAACTTATCAACAATTTTCATACATTATTTATACTCAATTATATACAACTACAATATCATACAATTTTTATACAATATTGTTCAACTTTCATACAATAGTTAAATAATATATATATATATATATAAACAACAGAATAAATTCTTTTATAATTTTACTACAATTTCGTAAGTATAATGTATGTCATGTCTTCTTCTTCAAGTTTCAATCTGAAACTCAGCCAAAATCAAGTCTAATCTTCACCAAAACACCCTCAAAATTGAGATATAAACTCCAAACTATATTCCCAATTGTTTACAACAATACCCAATTCAAACAAATAATGATTTTTTAAAAACCCAAATTGGAATTCAAAGCTTCAAAGCTTTTTAATGGCTGTCAACGGTGGAATTGCTGCTCTCTTTTCCTTTGCTTTATATTAGTGGAATTAGGGATTGAGAGATAGAGAGAGACGTAGAGAGAATTTTCCAATTATTTGCAACAACACCCAATTCAAACAAATAATATTTTTTGAAAACCCAAATTCGAATTTAAAGCTTCAAAACTTTTTAATGACTGTCAATGGTGGAATTGCTGTTCTCTTTTCCTTTGCTCTACATTACTGGGATTAGGGATTGAGAGATAGAGAAAGACGGAGATATTATATATATATATATATATATATATATATATATATATATATAGAGAGAGAGAGAGAGAGAGAGAGAGAGAGAATAAGGATGTGAAATAATTGATTCCTAATATAAAGGGATACTCATTTAATTCCTAATGTGTATAATTGGTAAATTTGTATATAGGATGTAATTAAAATAAAATTTGAGTAGGGAGGGTAATAAAGTTTCCAATAGTGTATAGGTATGTAAAAATTTCTAACTGACTCTAATTTTACGGGGCACATACTATTTTCTACCAGTAAGGCATCGGATAACTATGTCTATCAAAGTTTGAACATATGAAAATAAATCACCTAAAGCAGTCTGATTTTTCGTTATAGTTATTGATAGGAAGAATAATACTTGTAGTCATAGGCTAGCAAAATTCAGTCTTATCTCTAGTGAAATATGTCTCGTGTCATGAATAACAAATTTTATGGCTTGTAAGTTGTAAGTGAGGTTGCTAGCACCTAGGTTACTTTTTGTTAAATTGTGTTGTTTGTGTCAACTTGCGTACACCTATCACAAAGTATTTGTTATCTCCCATCAATACAGATATTGAATAATTCTATCCATCAAGACTTAAATACTAATTCCCTTAGAGTTCAGGTACTCTTATCCGATCTTTTCATTTAACATAATCTACTACTTTGACGGCTAACTGTCATAACTATAAGGGAATGTTTATATTCTATTCCTTTTCAGTAAGTATCACAAATAAGAAATATCATTATTCTTGAAGTTTTTGTTATTCCTATTTAACCATAGGTACCATACTCCAAATGGAAAAACATCCTGCCAACTGAGATCACTCTTTACTATGATTAGAGCTGCTCTTGTCTTTCACCCACATGAAGCAAGCCATATGGTGATACTGGTTCTCAAGGTTTTTTGGAGTATAATGCATTTTATTCCAGAAATCTATAGCCACCTTACATTTCAGCATAAGGTGTTTGATGTTTTCAAGGTTCCAAGCCAAATACTTGACAGGTTGGGCTATTGGTAATTCCTATATCAAAAAGATATTGAGCTGTTGGTATACTAGTATGAGAGGCCATCCAAAAGAAATTTGGAATCTGACCGTTTGGCCATAGATTTTTTCAAGATATATTTGGGATTTTTTTTGAAAAATACATCACTATCAAAAATCAGGTGATTTCCGACCGAAATTTCCGACCGAAATCGGTCGGAAATTGATAATTTCCGACCAAATTTCGACCGTTTTTAATTGGACGGAAAAACAATGGTCGCAAATGCAGACCGACCGCAATTGGTCGCAAATTTCCGATCGAAATCGGTCGGAAAATATTGGTCGAAAATTTCCGACCAAAATCGGTCGATAAAATCCAATGCGCTGACTGGCAGTCAAACTCTATTTTCCGACCGAAATCAGTTAGAAAATATTATTATTTAGTTATTTTTAATTTTAGTTTTCCGACCGAATTCGGTCGAAATTTTTAAAAAATAATAATATTATTTCATTAAATAATTATTTGTAAATTGTTAATTTATTTAAAAAATAAATATAAATTTATAATTTCCGACCGAATTCGGTCGAAATTTTTAAAAAATGATAATATTAGGTCATTAAATAATTATTTGTAAATTGTTAATTTATTTAAAAAATAAATATAAATTTATAATTTCCGACCGAATTCGGTCGAAATTTTTAAAAAATGATAATATTAGGTCATTAAATAATTATTTGTAAATTGTTAATTTATTTAAAAAATAAATATAAATTTATAATTTCCGACCGAATTCGGTCGGAAATTACGAATTTCTGGGCAAAAAAAATAATTTCCGACCGAACTCTGGGTAAAAACTGGGCAGAAAAAGGCTCTTTTTAAGCTACACTCCTTGCCAATTTAAACCAACATACATCCTATAATGCCAGCTTACATTGCTGCCATTCAACCATGAAAACTCAATAAAATAACTAATAGCCACCAACAACAACAATTAACCAACAACTAATAACCACAACCACAACAACTAATAACCACAACAACAACTACTAAAGTGTTCAATAACAATATAATCATCATTCAAATAACCAACAACAAAATATTGACAAGTTCACAACTTTGTTTAACAATGCACAACATTCAATGAATTTTTTATGTAGCACCATCTTCATGTAATGTCTTAGGACCTTCATCGCCGGCAGGTGGGGAAGGAGGAGGAGACCGGGGAATGGGGAAAGCACCACAAGCAAGAAGATTGGCCAGCTGACCTTGAAGGAGATCAAATTGTTTGTCCCTCCTTTCTAGCTGACCTTGAAGGGTATCAAAATTCTTCTTTTCTCTAGCCTTGGTCTCTTCAAGCTCTGCTGTCAGCTTTGCAATCTTCTCTTCCATGGACGATATAGCCGAACTATCAATCGCCTCGTCTTGGGCGGAAGTCCCTATACCTTGCAATCCATCCATGTAGCGCCGAAACGATTTATCTGAAAGGTCGTATGCTATCCCCTTTTTAGGACCACCGACAGTACTCAAACATATCCTCTTCTCTTCTTCGTCTGAAATGGGTGGTCGCTCGCCTTGCTCATTTAGTGGCAAGCTCTGAGTGTACTCCTCCAAATTGATCTTGTAGCGACCCTTTATTTAGAAGATAGAAAATTACTAACTATATAATATTAGAAACATTTATAGTAGTTATGAAACTTACATGTGTAGTCTCTGCCCGGTCCTCGACCCATCTAGTTGGATCTGTCGGTGCCTTCTTCTTCCGGATGTGAGTCTCCATGAAGAACTCATCATGACTCATCTTCCTCCCCAATTTTTTTCCCTACAAATATAATAAACATGTTAACGAAAACTATAGCAATACACGTATTTTGTTGTAAAAGCAGAGTGCAATTTAAGAGATGGGAATTTTTAAGTAACTAGATTCTTGAGAGAAACATAGAATAAAAAATACAACATGAAGCTGGGATTATATGGAGTCCACTTGAGCTTCACTGAAAAAAACTTTGGTTTTTGATAGCCTAGAGCTGGTTAGTCTATATAATGTTTGACCATACAACTCCAAGGTTGTGTTCTAGTTCCAATATTCTCTAATTAGTTTGTGTTGTATGTTAACCAGTACTATGTTCTTTCCCCTTCTAAAATTGTGGTCTTCATAATTTTCTTCAAGATTTTAGATTTTTGTGCTGTTGAATACAAATTCCTATCAACATGAATTTGCTCATTTAAAATAAACAACATATTAAAATATGATTCTTCAACAAATTTGGAACCAGGGCTTCTCAAATTGAAAGAGAGATTTTTCATGAACATCAGCGCTTATAAACATGAAAAATACATTAAATAGAAATCTAATAATAGATAAAGCAACATCTTAAACCTAATTAAAACAAATTTCATGCTTTTTAGTGTACTGTCAAGAAACCAACACTTACCAGTTTGTGTTAAGCAACAATTCAAATGAGGAGTGTGTTATATAGTGCCAGCCCAAACAACAAATATTATTATAACCTAAGTTTCTTTGTTGGTAGAAGATAAAACTTATATGTTATTGTATTGTATTTGTTTGGCAATATATATATTTCTCTAAGCAAGGAAGCAGAACAAAAACAACCTCATTTAATATAAATATGGTAGTCACATAATTCTACAGTTAATATATAATTATGTAGTTAATAAAAACAACCCCATTTAGTATAAGTATTGTATGTTATGTGTGTATTTTTGAAATGCCAACTTGCCGTGATATTCCAAAGTTTTGGGAGATATATAAATATAGTTCCATAAAAATAGACTGAAATATTTTAAGAAATTACCAGATGTCTCCTCGTATCCCCCATGCTCCTTGAACCCAGACAGTGCAAGGAGCCACCCTTTTCAGATGCTCGGGCCTTCTTTCCCTGTTCACTCTGCTTCTTGAATTTGTCGGTGGTCCAATACTTCTCCAAATCCACCCATATATGCGGTAGAACCCATGAAGGCCTCTTTTTAACCCTTCGAGCGGTGCTGAAGGAATCAGAGAGTCTCTTACGGCATTTGTACTCCCAATTTTTACAAATTTCACGGTTATACTGGTCCTCCCAGGAACACTTAGTCTGCAAATAAAGTAAGTAACGTTAGATGAAAATATTGTTAATATAACACTTAAATAGATAAGAATTGTATTAAAACCTTAAATTGGTTGAACATCTGTTGCACGAGACTATCTGGAAAGTCACTCCAAGTCGGATAGGGTGTTAAATACAACGAGACAAGTATATCAGTGATTATCTTTGTAACATGATTATTAGGAATAAACCTGCAACATTGCAATTACATTAAATAAATAAGAGTAGCTATTATAATTCAGCAAAAAAAAAAAGAAGTAATAAATAAATCTTACCCGTTGCCTTCAGGCCTGATGATTATCCTATGGTAATGATCATAACGCACATCATCCGAATCATCATCCTCCGATGAATCTGAAGCATGTACAGAAGAGGGTGCATCTGGCTCAGTGCTACTATCTCGAAGACAGAGTCTAGAAATGCTAGGAGACGAACCCTATGGAGAGGGAGATGGGGTCCCTGAAGACGTCCCCGATCCACATCCCTGCACAGATCTAGACCCCTGCTCCGATCCAGACCACTGCTGCGATCCGGCCGTCTGAAATCTAGATGGATGCGATCCGGCTGGAGATGAATCAAATGGAGTAGATGACGGGCGTATCACATGGCCCTGTGACTGGTAACTCTATGCACCTATGTAACTATTGGTAGGATCATTAGGAGGAAGCGGGGTATAGCCCTGTGGCGGAGAATTGTGATAATATTGCTGGACGGGCGAATGGTGGGTAGTATAATGAGTAGATGGATGTGGTGGAATAGATTTGTGCCTAGAAGATTGATGCGGACCATCGGCAGCAGAGGGATGAAAGTGTGGAGTGGAAGGAAGCGAGGGTGTAGCACCATTATCATAATCAGTAGGCCTTTTATCCTTCCTAAACCTACCTCGACCCCTACCGACCATCTGCATAAATTAAAGAAAATGTTAGAATTGAGAATATAAATCTATATAAGTTAAGAACGCTTGAAAAAACTGACATGCTAGTCGTCTTCGTCGACGTATCCTTCCTCGTCTGAAAATCCTTCCTCTTCACGTATTTCATTTTCATTAGGTGATTCTTCATCCTCATTTTCTATGATTGTTATTTCCTCCATATCGACTTCTTCTAATATGTGTTGAGGATACTCCAAGTAATTTTCTAACTGGTCATCTACCATTTGGTTAACACTTAAGGTATCGTTTTGGTAAGCAACATCTAGTACATTCTCAACTTCCACCCTACCAATAGGCTTTGTTTTTATTACAACCAACCAATCAGCCTTATCCCTCCGCAATGGATATGGAGCATAGTACACTTGCCTAACTCTTTCTGCAATTATAAAAGGATCATAACGATCATACTCCTTCTTTTTATTAACCTCAATTATGTTGTACTGCGAGTGTACATTTGTACCTCTTCTAGGTGTTGGGTCAAACCACTTGTATCGGAAAAGTATGATCTTCTTATATGGCCAACCTGAATATGACAATTCTAGAATCTCTTTGATCACACCATAATAATCATTTTCCCCATCCTGGTTGTCTTCACCACCTTTGACACATACCCCACTGTTATTGCTTTTTTTATACTTGGAGCATTTCTCGGTGTGAAATTTGTAACCATTCACACAATACTTAGACATAGTCGTAACCGTAGGTGCAGGTCCCCAAGATATATCTTGCAAAAATTTATTAACACCGTTGTTTGGATTATTGACCTACATGTAGCGTTAAATAAATCACAAGTGAGCAAGTATATTCACAAGTATGTATAATAACATGTGAGAAAGTATGTAAGATGCACTTACACACTCTTTAAACCATGCCTCAAATGTAGAATATACAACACCATGACAAATTGACTCACGAAGTCACTGAGTGACACGTTGAAAATTATTTGTTAGTTGCATCAACCAAATTAAATAGTAGTCCGTGTAAACTAATCTTATGTCAACACTTACTTAAGAAAGGGTTGAACTTCTGGACAATTTAGTAACACATGATTTGAAGTTGATTTGTACTCTATACTAGTTAGGCCCCTTTGTGCTCGATCTTTAGAACCTCGGCCTGGTTGATTGAATATGGACATTGGTGGATATAATGGATCAATCTCAATTACCACATTGTATCGATTGGGCCTATTTCTAGCACATGGCACATGACTGTCAAAGTAGTAAGAATAAAAATGGGCAGTTTCCTTTGCAAGATAGGCTTCGCATATGGATCCTTCAATCCTATTCCTCTGTTTAACAAATCGTTTACACTTGCCAATAGTCCTGTACATTGTCATATTAGACGATAACGTTAAAGAAAATTACAAGAATAAATAAAGGTTTGATCATTACCTCTCGAATGGATACATCCACCTGCATTGAACCGGGCCTCCAAGTCGCGCCTTGTGTACAAGGTGAATTGGCAGGTGTTCCATCACATCGAAGAAACCACATGGAAAATCCTCTCCAGCTTATTACTGATAATAGGAATGTTCTGATTCATTTGAAATAGGTTTTCTTCCCTTAATATGGTAGAACATAAGTCTTTGAAGAAC